AGCAAGTTTTATTTTTCCGAAAAGTTCTCGGAAACGACTTTTGGTCAACCCATACATAATGAGATTCGTCCAACTCAGAAATAAGAGAAACATTACGGGGTTTGATAGATCTTATCGTTGCCTTTTTTGTTCAGAGAGAGAAAGCGCGAGCTTGTTTTGTTGCTCCTCCCATGGCGAAAAGTCGCGATTAGGTTTTCGATTTTGTTAAGTACTACAGCGTTTGCGTGAGCGTTGGCTATAGGAGTAGTCGCTGCTGGAGTTGTTTTACCAGCGTTTTTGCGAGCTGCGACTTTGTCTTTCATATATCCAGACATCATTTTGATCAAGCGTTTTGCGGCTATGAGCGTTGATCTTATTTCGAATTCGCGTAAGAGCATTGCAATCTTTACAAGAGATTACAAAGGCTTTGGCCGCAGGGGCCGTCAGCGAGTTTCCTTGGTCTAGCAACATAAAACCCTAAACCTAGTTGAGTTGCAGCTCAATAACGAAAGACGAAAAAGATAAGAGAATAAGGTTTTGATTGATTTGAGACTGAACCTTATGGAAGGCTGCCTACGTACCCCTTTCGAGGATCAAGTCGAACGTAGTTCAATTGATAGCGCTGGACAAGAGATTGAACTGCCTAGGCGAGTTCGTCTAGTAATTGAGCGCCAGTCATAGAAACCAAACTTGTCGAGAATAAAGCCTAAGTTTCTAAGTGCGGAGAATTCTATGTCTAGAAAAGTTGTAAAAGTCTCAGATGAGTGCTCTCAAAAACGTCCTTTGCTTCTATCCTCGACCTTCTGCTTATATACTCATTCTCTAGGCGGTTTAGTCTTTCCTTTTCCACCCTGATTCATGTTTATCGGAATCTTCCATTTATATCTATCTTTCCATTTTTCTGCGGAAAACTTCTATTTATCTTCAATCTTGACATTCCTGCGGATAAGAGACAGACTGTCATTGTATCTTTGGGCTGGACCCGGTCCAAAGTCACGAGTGGGCTTTTATTGCGTTTTAGGACCTTTCTAGCCGTTTTACGACTTAGCCATTTTACGACTTAGCCGTTTTACGACTTAGCCGTTTTACGACTTAGCCGTTTTACGACTTTTACAAGATCGTTTCCTGATACGACGACGTTTTTAAGTAAACATCTCGAGTTAATCGTATATTTTGGCAATGTTCGGTGTTTCTTTTAACCATTGCCGTTTTATATGATTTACTCGAGGTTTTACTAAAAACGCGTGTTTTACGATTTTTATAAAAGATCTCGAGTTAATCGTATAGTTTGGCAATGTTTGGTGTTTCGTTTAACGGTTGCTGCTTTATACGACTTACTCGAGGTTTTACTAAAAAACACGTCTTTATAAAAGATTTCGAGTTAATCGTATAGTTTGGAAATGTTCGGTGTTTTGTTTAATCGTTGCCGTTTTATACGATTTACTCGAGGTTTTACTAAAAACATGTTTTTACGTTTTTATCGTAAAAATCAAATGGTAAGACTGATTGAGACGAAACGAAGGAAGTTCTGATCACGGTTCAGAGTCCGATCATATCAAGGAACTCAGATGGTACAATTCAGCTCGCCCATTGGCGAGATGGACTTGATGAGTGCAGATCACCCATGGCCGAGCTGGTCACATGTGTGGTCAGCTCGCCCATGGGCGAGCTAGACTTGATGAGTGCAGCTCGCCCATGGGCAAGCTGGACTTGATGAGTGCAGCTCGCCCATGGGCGAGCTGGACTGATGTGTTCAGCTTGCCCACGGGCGAACTGGTCACATGTGTGTCCTAGCTTGCCCGTTGACGAGCTGAACGGTTGCTGGGCATTGGTCTTTTCTTGTTTTTTCGACCCGAGACCTCTGCGGAGGATGTAAGGAGAAGTGTCCGTAAGCGTTAACTCCGATCTTAACAATAGTTTTAACATCTCGGGGAGTTTGGGTGTTACAGCCGTTTTTGTTAACTTGACCAAACAATCGCGTGCTGTTTTATTTGATTTCCCGGTGATTTCCAAGATGACAATTGCCGTGTTCTAAGGAGTTGCTTCGCTCGAAGAATCCTTAGATTTTTTCTCGATGCTTTTCCGCAGTTTTTAAAACATATTCTTAACTTTACGGAAAGCTTTAATCGTTGATTCCGTCGTAATCGATTTTGAACCCAACAAACTAGGAGGTCTTTTTTTATTATATCATACTTTGATACAAGTTTTCCACAACTTCGTATCTCTGTAGAAATTATATAGTTTGGTGTATGCTTTTTCCGGGACTTTTAGCCATTGATTCCGTCATGAACGATTTTGACCCCAACGACGGACGGCCAGACCGAAGCAACAAACAAGACACTCGAGACCTATCTTCGTTGCATGACAGCTGAAACACCACAATCTTGAGGTAAATGGTTGCCTTTAGCTGAATGGTGGTTCAACACAACCTACCACTCCTCCATCAAGAGCACTCCCTACGAGATTATATATGGTCAGCCCCCTCCAACCCATCTCCCTTATCTTCCCGGTGAAAGCTCATCTGCTATAGTAGACTGAAGTATGCAGAAACGTGAAGAAATCATAAACATGCTGAAGTTCCACCTCCTTCGAGCTCAGAACCGTATGAAGCAATCAGCTGATTCTCATCGCTCTCACAGGGAGTTTATAGTCGGGGATTATGTCTTTTTGACGTTGCAGCCGTATAAGCAACACTCCCTTAAGAATAGAAATGTCCCCCATAAGCTCTCACCTCGCTTCTATGGTCCGTTTCGTGTGCTAGAGAAAGTTGGTTCAGTGGCTTACAAACTTGATCTTCCCGCTACAGCTGCTATTCACCACACGTTCCATGTCAGTCAGCTGAAACTGTGTCCCAACCCACCTTCTGAAACCCCTACATTACCTCAGTACTATCAGGATTTGAGAACAACTAAGGAACCAGACTGTATTCTGAAAAAGAAGATGGTAAAACACCGTAACACCGCAGTCACTAAGGTACTCATGCAGTGGAAAGGTCAAGGTCCAGAACAGGCTACATGGGAATTCTACCAGGATTTCATCACCAAATTTCCAAACTTTGATCCTTGAGGACAAGGATAATCTCAGAAGGGGAGTAGTGTGACCGTCACGCAAGCTATCTCACCAAACCGGTCTGGTTTGTCTCTATTTCAGTTTTTCTAATTTTGGTTTGATAATATCTGGGATTTTGTCCCATGCTACTTTGTCTTTTATGGAGCCAGCTAATGAGTCACTATGACCGTTAGAATCCTCCCTTTATGTATTAGCTGACTGCTTTTGCAGAAAAAAGTAATCAGAAAAAATCTTCATCTTATCCTCAACTATCTCTCTCTCGCTTAAGCTTATTGAGCAAGAAACTTTTTCCTAGAAATCTTGTTCCTTCAAGGTGATTATTCATCCATATCACTTTGTAGGTTTGATTTCTCCCTTATTAAGCTCTTGGTGAATTTTAGATTGGGATTTATTACTCTGTTTTAACACTACTGTTACACTCGAGAGTCAGCTTGTGTCTTCCCTTTTCTCTGCCTTCTCTTCTCGCTTGACTCAAACTCCAGTACAAGCGGCGACGGAGCTCGAACACTGCAGATCTACGAAGCAGAGGCAAAAACGGTGGAGACATAGCAAGACTCGACCCTAGGCAAGCTCTGGTTATCGTAGACGAAGCAATACACGACCCAAGCTATGTCTCCTCCCTATCTTTGTTTGGTCTTGCCTCTTCTCTGTTATGTATTAGACTCGGACCCTGGAAAAGAAGGGAAATTGGGAAAAGTAGGGTTTCGGTGACTCTTTTTTCTTTTCAAGTCTCGTGGTGACACTGATTTTTTTTTTATTATTTAACTTAAGTAAAGAAATTGTTATTGTAACGAGGGAATATTTGGCGCTCGTGTAATTTTCATCTAAGTATGGCGATATTGGTTATTTTCTCTTCCCGCTCATAAATTGGGAAAATTAGGGTACGATGTGACAACTAAAATTTCAGTCGTCAGGTGAATAATTTAAAACAGACGACTGAACATTCAATCGTCTAAACCCTAAGCATAATTCCTAAACTTTATTATCTAATTAAACACTTCGAAAAATCAAATTAAACTTGAAAAGTGTTTACTATACACAGAAATAAACATATAGAGGTAAAATTAAATTTTTGAAAAAAACATTTCAGCTTTTCAAAATCTAACCCTAGGAATACACAAATACCACAACATATGTTTGTCAAAGCCATAAACCAAAGAATATCATGACTCACTACTTCCACTCATCTATGTTGAAAACAAATCAATTTTATCATATCTTCATTTATATCACTTAAAACTGTTTGTAATTACATGATTTTAATTTTCACTCATCAAAATATTTTTTACAAAATTTATAAATTATTTTTAAGATGCATTTGTAAAGACGACTTACATTTCAGTCGTCCAGACGACTTAAAAACATCTTAGAAGAGCCAGACAACTTACTGGGGCTATATTCGTGTAAACATGTCTTCTGTTTTTTTTGTTTGGTCACAAGGGACTATGCTGTAATTTCATAAGGTTTTTAGGTTATTGATTCAAGTTTGGGTCTAATATTTGGGTTAAAATCAAGTTGTGGGTCTAGTATTTGCATTTCATTCGTCAAGACGACTTAAATTTTATAATGCTTTCTTTTACCATCGACCAAATTGTACTGAATTGATTTGTTTTAACAATTTTCTTTTCTTTTTCTTCAACTAATATCTAGATTTAATTTTTTTTTTCATGTATTTAAAAATTATAATATGAAACCTTTAGTTCGATATCAGTATTGTATAAAATTCATATAACATGAATTCAAACAATTATAATAATTTTTGGTTATCATAAAATAAAAAATAAAAATAAAAACCTCAAGTATTTTAACCGAACAAACCAAAATAAATATGAATTTAGAATTATATTTATATTTTAGTAGATTAAAAACCGGACAACAACCTAAAACTGAACTGATATATGGATTAAATAGACCTCTCTTTAAAATATAACGAAATTATTAATTTCATCATGCGCAATCTCTGGATTACTACCTAGTTATTATTATTTGTATTTCCCTTTATTCATATACATCGGACATACATAAACCAACTCACAACGACTCGTATAGGATGCACCACACAACAATCAACAAACAACGTAAGTTTACTTTAACAACAGCACACGCTTACAAACAAAGACACCAACATAACACACAAACACACTCTCCTCACAGTTTTCTTTTGCTTTCAGTCCGTTTACTTACCAAACCACGACTTGTCATGATCACAAGCCATCTTCCAAGCCTCTCTGCCAGTAATGTCACCCACCCACGTACGTACTTTAGGTCGATTTTCAAACAATCTTTTCGTTGGAGTCCCCAAAAGGTATTGTATATTGGGTAAGTGGTGAAGATCAACCAAAGTAAAGGTGTCACAAGCCAAGAATTTAGATTCTCCGAGTCGTTTTTCATAGACATTTAGAACATTCTCTAGACCAGCTTCGTTTTCTTGGACGACCGCCAGGTCAGTCTCTAGACCGTAGATAGGTTTAATGACTTGCTCCCAAGTGAGTACAGATGCGAATGGATCGAACTGGTGAGCTTCGATTTCCATCCACATTGTTAGTTTTGCCATTGTCTTGTGGCTTCTTAAATTCAGAAGCTGCGTGCCTCTTGAGCTGTGCACATATGCAATGTATTGTGTGATGGCTCGAGACTCTGTAAGAAGAAATTTGAAGTTAAAATTAGTACAAAATAGATTAAATACAATAGAAAATGATTATCATGATGTTGTTTATTAGTGCGTAATTTAAATTAAATCACCACATAGCTTAATGTTTCCATCTTCAAAAACTGGGACTTGACCAAATGGCTGCATCAATAACAACATTGTTAAACTCCGAGACTAAACGGGATTAATCAAGAATTAGTTTTGTGAAAGTTTTTACGTATGTTTTTTTTTTTTATTTATATTAGTCTCGTCACATTATTCAAAATGTTTAATGTGGCGCAGTTGATAGATTTAGCATTAGAAAATCACTGTTTTCGTATAATACAACCAAATTGTCACAAATCTCCATGCTCGCCTACCGTCTCACGTTTACCCGGCCGCTGAAACATCTAAGCGGACGAGCGTTTTGAACATGGATTAAAATGAAAGAAAAAGAACATTTCAAAAGCTCTGACTTTTTGTCTGAACTAGACATAATCGCCATGGCTGAGACCCCCAAGTGCTTCATCACCCCGTGTTTTCGAACATAGCTACTAACTATTCTTTCTTTCTTCTATCTAGATTCACACTCTTTAATCCGATGTACATTATCTAATTTGATCCATAATCGAACCAGCTCAAAATTGGTATATTGATCTTTACCGAAACATTTCAAGATTGATAATTAATGTAGACCGAGTATATTAGAGACAATATCCTCATATCCCATGTGATAAAGGATTAAGACTAGTATATAAAAGATATTGAACAATCAACTTACCACCAATTTGTTTTATGATTAGATATAATATGTATTTAACATATATAATAATTTAACTTAGAACTAGCAAGCCTTAAATGAAAGTATATAGAGATTAGGCATGGGCATTTGGATATTCGGGTCAGGTTCGGGTCCGGATCTTACATATTTAGATGCAATAGGGTAATCAGAATTCATTGGTTCAGGTTCGTTCGGGTTAGGTTTGTCTCGGGTTCGGGTCGGGGTCTTTCAGGTCTTACATATTTAGACGTAATAGGGTAATTAGAATTTATTGGTTCGGGTCGGGTTCGGGTCGGTTTGGGTCATGTCGAGTCCAGATCAATTTGGGTCATAGATAGTAGGATCCAATAGGATAATTAGCTTCTGTCGGATCATGTTCGGTTCAGATCATGTCAGGTCCGACACAAAAAATATCCAAAACACAAAAAAATATTTGAAAATATTTAAAATTAAAAAAAAAATCTAAAGTTTTACTAACAATTTGATCCAAAACTTGAAAAATACTCAAACTTTAATCTGATTATTCGAATTAAGTTTTTTTAAATCTAAAATTTTACATGAAACTCAAAACCATATCCGAAAATCCAAATCCAAAACTTGCAAAAAGGAATATAATACCAAAAATATATTGAAACACTAATATATATTAGAAATTTTAGGTATTTGAATACATAATACCCTATCAATTTTTGGGTTCAGATCAGATCGGATCCACGACCCGCGGATCCTCCTTAACAAGACCTAATAGAATAAAAGGATTTTTCTAGTCAGTTTTGGGTCGGATCATCGGATATGGGTAATATGTTCGAGCCCTAAGTGTGTAACCCTAGTCTGAAGCTATCTTTTATTTTCTTGACGATACAATAACTTACGTTGTGAGAGAGAAAAGATTCCCTTTTGTGTTCACCGGTTTTCAAATCAACGGTAATGGGCTCGTAAGAGAGCCCTTTCTCGATGAGAACAGCTAGAACACGCCTTGTGTTGGTGGAGAAAGGATCGCCATGGACCTTGTAACCTTCTCACATATTATTGTTAAGTTAAAATAATTATATACACGAAATTCATAAATGAGAAATCAATCATACATGTCCTATTTTATTTTTACCAAAATCAGCCTTTGGCATCAGGTTGAACACCAGGTTCCTGTCGTCCATCGAGACACGATTTGTAAAGCTCATTGATTTGTAAAGGGTTTTCAACTAAATGATGTAACTAACTATACATTTTATAAGATTCTAAGTTACATATTTTTTTTTATATTACTTTCTTTCGCAAAACAAAAGCTAGGAATATTTTGCTTTTACTGACATCCACGTCTTTAGTCGCCACCTTTCTTGTTTTCCAAGAGATGAATTGTTCCAATGGTTAACATAATAACAAGGGGTCGACAATTTGGTACCAAACCAAAACCGGTTAGACTTGTTTTAGAATTCAGTCAAAAACTTGTATTTAGAAAATATCAGTTTTGCAAAAAAATTAAAAACAGTACGTTTCAAATGTTTAACCGTTTAATTATTAATTTAATATGAATGATTTGATAAATACAATAATCTATAAAAATAATTTCGGAAATATATTTAAGCCAAAGTAAATTATAGGGACTGATTAGCTATTTCCATTTTCATAAATATAAAATTGCATTCATTTTAAACTAAAATATTTTTAATACAAAATACAATACTGCACATAATAAAATGATAAAGTTTATAACTGACACTGAATAGTTCTGTAACTTAAGTTTTATCAAAATTATATATCACATAAATTTTCAAACAAAACTAAGAGTTCTCCTACGCCATGAACATAAATAATAATTTTTAAGTATAATATTTTTTTAATTCAGAAAATTTTATCTTATATTTGGAAATAATTCTGTTTTAACTTTATCAGTTTGGAAATAAAATAAAACCATAAATGTCTTTTTGTAGTTTATTCGTTTTGATATTTTTGTAACAATATCATTTAGATTTTATTTAAATTGATAGATTTAAAATAGTGTTTTATAAAAAGGAATTCTAAGTTATATTATACTATATCATATTTAATGATTATTTATTTTTTTATGTATCTTATCACCAGATTTTAAATATGTCAATATTTAGATATATGAATATATATATATATATATATATATATATATATATATATATATATATATATATATATATATATATATATATATATATATATATGAAAGTTCTGATAATATAATATTCATGCGCCATGCACATAAATAATATTTTTAACTAAAAAAATCTTTTCCTTTTTGTTAAAAAATAAGTTTTTATTGGAAATTAATATTTTATATTTTAAATTCATAGATTTTAAAAAATAACCATAAATGCATTGTTTTGAACCCTTATATTTTTATTTTGTTTAAATCTGTACACTTATTTTATTTAAACTTTAATAAGGTTAAGATACCATTTTATAAAATATATTTTTATTTATGTTATACTGTCTTTAATTCTTATTTATTGTTAAACATGGCGCTTCTAAGCTAGTTTTGAATATGTATGTATTCAAACATATGAATTTTGATTAACTTTAGACATATTGAAATATATAACTTTTTATTTTTTATTTTTTTCGAGTTAAATAAGTTAAACTGGTAAAAATCATTTTGTTAATTAATATAATGAACTGATCTATAAAATTAAATAAAAATTTAATTATTTATGTATCGAAATTCATTATTTGATTAGTGTTCATTCATTTAAGAATATATATAATATGATATATAAGTTGATGTAAAAATTATATTTAGTTTATTTTACTAACACGATATATATATATATATATTAATGGTGATATATAGACTATTAATTATTAATATATCCAAATAGTTTTGCCAACATAAATAGTGATATATGAGTTAATAGTTATTACCATCTACTATAATTAAAAGCTCTTATTAAGAGCCTATGAGCTATGCCAAGTCAGCTAATTTAATCAGCCAATAGGGGTTGCATTTTCTGCCATGGCACTGCCATGTGGGATTGTTCAGGTCAATAATATGATGATTCGTATGGGAAAACAATAAAGATTAGGCAGCAGAGTTGGTAAAACATAGCTCCTAAACCATCAAAAATCTAGGTTCAACTCCCACCAGTGACATTTTAATTTTTCTGACCCCACTAATATCCAATCCTGGGACCGCCCCTGCATCTGCTGTACCAGAAGGAGCGCGTCCAGCATAAAAAAATCAGATTGTTGACCCAAAGAAGGGGACACGATTAAGATTAGATCCACCTAGAAAACGTAAATCACCATTACATTTCCTTATGTTTTATGTCGTCATTTTCGTTTGGTTATGCACTATAATTTAGAACTTTATCTATTTTTAATTAAACTCAACAAGGTGGGTGGTGTTTAACCTATCAATATACATGTCTTCCTTTAAGCTCAAATTAAGTAAACACAATATAGGCATTGAAGAACTCACTTCCTCTGCATGTTAAAATGTGTTAAAAAATATAATTTGAGATGTTAAAACTATTCATCAAAAACTATTTATACAACTTCTGAGCTAATAGTGAGTAATGAAACATTATATATACATACACTCACAAAAGACCTCGAGCATAGAAATTCACAAAAAAAAAACCTTTAAGAGGAAGACATGACATGGTTAGAGAAAGCATGAGGACGTTGGTTTGGGACTCCCAGAGGTCCACAAAACGACTCCAAAATAAAAAAGAAAAATGTTAAGTTAGAGTAAGTTTCTTATTAGACACTACAATAATTTGTTGATATTTTGTTACGAAGCTTTTAACTAAATAAACTCTTTTTTCTCTCTGCGAACTCCTAACTAAATTATCGAAAATGTGTCAAAACAGACTATGGTGTTAGGCTGTTGTCTTCTATCTAATGACTTTATGTGGATCAGGACCAATAAGTTTGGTTCCAGTGTGTTTATAGAAGATAGTACACAAAAAACAGAATTCTTTTTAATTACATTATAAATAACTGCAGGCGAACAAAACTTGTCTTTAAGCATTACTAGAATCTGAAACTGAAAATTTAACAATGTTTCTGGATAAAACTCGGGGTGGCATGGATTGAATACTACCATAATTTAAGTATTTGCGGTTTGCTTTGTATTTTACGGATATTTAATTTTTCGATTTGCTTTGTTTCGAAAAATTACGGATAATATTTGTGAAAAATTTATGGATATTACGGATATTTCATCCACTTTGTTCAATATAATTTTTTTTTTTTAAAAAAACTATACAAGTTTGTTTCCAAAAATATATTTTACATAACAAAGATTAGTGAAATTATATGTCGCACAAATTTTTAAAATTAGTTAATTTTAAATAAAACATAAAATTTTAAAAAAATTATGGTTTTATAAAGATTTTATCTTCCTTTCTTAAGTTAATACTTTATATGTAATTTTATAAATATAATTAATTAAATTATATATTAAAATAATAATTATATAAATTATGCATTTATATTTCTATATTTAATTGTATATATACACTTATTTTTATAAAAACTGGAACGGATCAGATATCCGATTCTAATTTATTAGTATTTGTGATTTACTTCGTTTTGAATGGATATTGAATTTTAATATTTACTTTGCTTCGAAAATTTACGGATATCCAGAATTTTCAAATCAAAATAGTCGATTCAAACTTTATGGATAAAATGTCCAACCCTAGAGAAACTGTTAAGAAGATTTCAAACACCCAAAAACTGATAAAACATAATTGTTTCATTAATTTTTTGTAAGGAAAAAAATCATAATTGCTTAGACTAGGAAATAAACTAAAACTACATAACCAAAGGCACCACACTGTTAATATACAGTCGTCAAGGCAACCAAAACAAATACATCCTAAATGATTCAAATAAACCAAACAGTCTTAAGAAAATGTATTTGTCAATAACACAAATAGTAAATAGTTAGTGATATAACAAGCGTTAGAGAACCTCCAATGGAGATTCTTCCCATTAAAATTTTTAAAATATGTATTATGTATATATATATATATATATGTATAAATATTTGTGGAATCCTATAGAAGAATTCCCTTTGGAGGTGGTTTTAGGATCACAAACGAAAGGTCCAAAAAAATTGAATCAATTAGTATTTATGTATCTCTTTGTTTAAGGATATACAAAACTAAATTATGCAATTCACTATGATTTATTTAAATGTTAGATTTTCTTTGACTATGTCGAAGTGAAATAAAATAATAAAAATACATATATATATATATATATATATATATTACATTTTCTGAATTATTTTTGCTAATTTTATATTCTCCAAAAATAGAGAATAATGAAGGTTACTGTCCTTTTAATTCATACTAAAAATGTTTAGTACAATCTCAGACTATTTATTATTTGTTTGTTCTATTTATAATGATTTAATACTTCATAAAATTAAATAAATAAATAATAATAGTTTTTACTATAACTTTCCGCCCGTAGGGCTGACCAAAACCCCTAAATGAGTGCATGCATATCAAGGATTGAATGGTTCTGTCCAGTTTAAGTTTCGATTTTTTCTCAGTTTAGTTTCCTTTCAGTTTGCATCTTTCAGAGTTCTTTCCCTTTCCAAACATTTTATCTATATAATTTCACCATTTATGAATGGTAATTGCTTATTGTTATGATTTTCAAACCACCCTTGCGCCTCTGATATGTGTTAATTACTCCTCTTTAAAATATTTAGGAACTGATATCATATAATCCTTACTGCACCTTTGAATTGTTAAAATTTGTTAGTTTTTTAACTATTACATATATTACATTGTTCATTACTGATATCATATAATTCCGTTAGACCCAACCAAAATTCAACTCCTTAAAATTATTTTCCTCAAAAAGAATAATATTGTTATTGGAATGATTTTTTATTTTCAAATTTATAAGGGAGCAGTTTAAATGCATATATATACTACTCATGCATCACGCCTTCTCTAATAATTGGTTACAAAAAAAAATTAAACTCTAACTATTTCTTAGAACATTATACAACTTATGCCTACAAGCTTATATATATTTTTTGATATTGAATTTCAATAGTTCGGAAATTGTATTCCCCAAAACTATCACGTAAAATAAAATTAAAATCCAAATAATTGAAATAAAGTAGTTACCCTAAATATAAAAGCTATATACAAAAAGA